TCACATTTTCATATGTATTATGGGAAAACTCTGATAAAGAATATTTTGGAAACAAACTTGTAGTAACTATTGGTTTTTAAATGTTTTTGGAAAGTTTAAATTTGACTTAAATTTTATGGGTGTTATACATTTTAACCCTAAGTATGGATCATGGATCATGGTTTGGGACCCAATTGCTAATTGGGTGATATTTTGGTATTGATAACTTGAGGAATTGTCAGGGCAACACCTAAGGATTTCGTGTAGTGAGCTTCAACATTCGAGTTGAGTTTTCCTCCTGTTTGAATGGTTCGAAGGCACCAATATCGATCCGTATTTATGACTATATGCATTCCAGACTAAGGTCCGATGTCGGGCGGTGCCCGATTTATGTTTATATGTTTTCCGGATTACGATCTGATGTCGGGCGGTGCCCGAGGAATGTTTGTATGCTTGATGTCTTCTTGATTCTTACATGTGTCTGTATTTATATGTTTCCGGATTACGGTCCAATGTCGGGCAGTGTCCGAGGAATGTTTTTACGCTTTTCGGATTACGGTCCGATGTCGGGCGGTGCCCGATGAATGATCATATGTGTTTTCTGACTACGGTTCGATGTCGGGTGGTACCCGATGGATATGTACATGTTTGATTATACTTTTTGTCTGTGTAATACTTGTATGTGCCTGGTTAGGGGGTGAGTGTGGGCGAGGTCCCGTATCTCATCACTATCTAAGTGTGGACGAGGTTCCATATATCATCATTATAAGAGTAAGGGGCAGGGCTCATGATAGGCGAGGCCTTAGGACGGGAACATATAGTATTGTGTATTGTTTCTTTATGTGTAGCATGATTATATGGTATTGATTGTATGTGTATAGCGCGCGAGGCCCCGAGACAGGCGAGGCCTGGGAAAAGCAGATTTGTACACCAAGCGGGGCTCGATGCCAGGCGGGGCCTGATGTCGGGCGGGGCTCGAGGAAGGGGCGGGGACCCAGTATATGTGATTATGTGTATGATATATGGGAGTATGGGGAAACTCACTAAGTTTCATGCTTACGGTTTTCAGTTTTGGTTTCAGGTATTTTTAGTAGCAAAGGGAAGAGCTCGGGATGGCTGCATTGCACGTACCATGATGTTTTAGCCTAAGATGTTTACTCTGATGTTTTGATATGATACTCTGATTTGATGTTTGGAATACTATGAATTATGTTTTGATAGAATGATTTTAATAACCATGGTTTTATTTAATGGTTTAAAACGGAATTTTTGGTCATGAATTTTTGGGATGTTACATTATAATCAACATTAGGTAACTTTTGTATAAACTATGTTTACTTTATACATAATTTACCATATAATATATTGTTTAATTTTGTAGGTTTTAGTAGAGGTTGTTAATGAAGTGTTGATAGCAGTGGAACACATGTAATGTGTATGCCAATTTCAAAAAGTCCTATAATGGTGTAGACTATAAGAGACTATTTTGGGGAGCATCAATGTCAACTACATAGTCATCATTTGTTACGACAATATATAAACTCAAAGCATTAAATAAACATGCCTATGAACACCCTATGCAAAGGAAACCATAACCTTGGTGTAAGGCATTTTTTCCTGATGAAAGAGTGAAGCTGTAGAAAATGGGATCTCAAAAAGCTTCATTTCAATAATTTTTGAAAAAAGGACTAAACCATTTTTACTATGTCGAAGGATATATGAATGTATGTTATGGAGAGTTTTTTGGGATGGCTAACAAGCATTGTAACGACCCAGACTTTCTATTATCTAATCTAATGGCATTATCAGAGTTATTACTAAAAATTTGCAGAATTCTATTAACTCATAAAAGTAAAAACATTTTATATCCTAGGCATAGTCACAATTTTACAATAAAAATCTTTATACAAATTATAACAACAAGGAAATAAACCTATTATAGGTCCTTGTTCTCCTGTCTTCACTTTAGGTACCACAGTTGCTGCTATATGATCCTACAAAACACAAACATATCTGCAGTATCAGACATAATGTGTATGATGATTTATATTCTTATATGTCTTCACATTTATCTATTATTTCTATCTTTCATTCTCTAATCTTTCCTCTTATTTTCTATCTCATACTCTGTAGTATAAACTATTCTCTTCATGACATGGACTACTAATCTTTCTCATCTCATCTCATCTAACTCTTCGTTTCCAATAGCAAACACTTATATTCTTACTAATCATCTATATTTTTTATATTTCTTAGCATCTTCTCAGGCTCATCTAATATTTCCCACGTCCTCTGTCTCTATCTCTATCTCTATATCTAGTTCTTCTCTACTTATATCTTAATATTTCTATCTTCATCTCATCCTTCGTATCTCGATCCCTCACGGATCCCTTAACACATTCCCTTCCCTCCTAAATCCCTCATAAATTTCCTTATTCTAAATCCTCCATGAATCATTTCCAAGTTCTTAAAAGAACTCCATTACTTCATTCCACTCATTGAACCTTTTATCTCTCTTTTCCAATCATACACAATCTTTAATTCCTACAGGAATCATCTATTTGATGGGTTGTACATGCAATAATACGGATAAATCCTTATACACTTGACTGTGAGACCCAAGGGCTAGCCCATGACATTCCAAGGAAATTACCATGGGGGTAGCCCATGACACTTGTATGCAAGACCGTGGACGAAGCCCATGACAATGTATGCATGGTATGTGGTATTTTGGAGAACTCACTAAGCTTTGTGCTTATAATTTATGTTTAAAATGTTTTTCAGGTACTTCTGGTACAAAAGGAAATGGTCCGGCATGATCACACAATCATCCAACCGTGTTTTGTATTTTATGATTTTGGATTGTATTTTGATAACCATTTTCTACACTACATACTTTCATGATTTTTGAAATGAATGGTTCATGGTTATTGTTGATTTAAAAACAAAATTTTTACTAAGTATTTTTGGGACGTCACACCACCCAAAGGCGCGACGCGTGTGGTATGTTGCGCAACGTGCCTTGCCTTATTTCCTCTTGTAAATACCTTTTATCCCCTTCACTTCCTCACTCCAAACTCCTCTTAAATATCTCTATAAATCTGATTTTTATGGAGTTTCCATTGGGAGTCTGAGGAATTCCTTTTCAGGGAGGCTTTGGAGCATCAGAGGGCCCATGTAATAGAAGCTCTCGGGTCAAAGTCATGTCGGTGATCTTCCTGGGTTTTCACTAGGAATATCTATAAGTTAGGCTATACTTACTACACTTAAAATGTAACTTATATTTATACTCATAGTTGTTGTTATGGATGTGTATATTAGATTTATCAGTAATTCCAGTAATAATATTGACTGATTTACTTACATGAGATATGTCTAGAATAGGCACGTTAGCTTGGTTCTTGGATTTCAGAAAAGTTATATGATGAAATGATCCTGCCTCACAACTATCATGCATGGCTAATCATTGTTTGATAGAAATCTCGATATTCATCGTAGTTAGTGAAAAGATCTAGCCTCCATTACCATTTTCCATAGGAACTAATAAATTATAGTATTATAGGTTAATATTTGTTAGGCACATTGCTCGCCATTTGGATTACCCAGATAGCTGTTAATCGTTTGAATAAATGTCCATGTGAGTTACCTTACTATACTATGTATTACAATATATATCCAAGTATGTTAGGATATAAAAGCTAGTAGAGTAGCACCGATAGTATAGTCTCTACGTGCCTACTATTATTTGGATGTGGTTAGGTTGTAGTATGTTACTAGAATGTGATTTGCTATATGACTGATAGACATGTTAGGCCATTACTGGTAATGCTATATGTTATATGTTAACATGATCTGTTAGGGGAATGAGGCATTCTCGCTTCCTACGGAAGGCCAAGATGCGGGCAAACCAACTTTATGCTGAAGGCCAAGGGTGAGTTGAAGACAATAGCAACTTAAGCGATTGTGAGCCTAATGACAATAACAACTTAAGTGATTGAGAGCCTAATTAATGGCAATAGCAACTTAAGTGATTGTGAGCCTATATACTCGATGTATGAATGTATATGTATTATAGTATATGATATTTTGGGGAACTCACTAAGCTTCGTGCTTACCCAGTTGAATGTAAATGTTTTTCAGGTACTTCATTGATTGGTGAGAAGGATAATGTTCGATTGTATACACGTGCATTCACAACATGTTCCCACATAATGTAAATAGACTATGATATATTGAATAAATAAAAATGAAAATTTTAGGTTGAAAATGAGATCGTTGCACAATTGTATGGTGTTAGGATGCATACTAGTTACAATATTATAAAATATAACATCATTATCGCCAATAATATGTATAACTATGTTTGATCCATGACAGTGAAAAGACAAACAAATTTGATTAGTATATAATATGGACTTCGATGAAACCAACTTAACCAACCCATAAAAGTTGTTAATTGTTGATTAAATTCACACCACTATATGTGTAATCTATCCAATATAGTGAATAAAGTCGTCTATTAGCTCCCCTTACCCCACTATAAAATAATTGCTCGGTTAAACTAATTTCATATACTCATTTCCACTAATAGAAACGTAAATGAATAGAAATATACATGGCAAACTACTCTAAACAATTTTTACATCAATCTCCACAAAATGGACTAAGAAATGATATACATATGTTGATTTTAGTAACTCCGAAATACTATACATTTCAAACTCAACATTGAATGTAGGATGTCAATGTGAAATATATGTTGTTAAATTTTAGAGTCATTTCATGTCACATTTCACAAATTCTAGGAAGAAAATCAATAGTCTAGAATAAGACATTTTAGAAAAAAATGATTATTTTTTTTTAAATTAAAAAATAAAAAATTATTTTTATTTACTAAATTATTTATAATAGTTACTTATTTTAATATTTATATACTAATTAAGGAATAAATATTAATTAAGGAATATAAATATTTGAGAAGAAAGAGAGTATCTTGTAGTTCGATACGAAATTAGGTCACAATGTCATATGTATCAAAACCCTGACGACTCCATTGTCGCCTAACCAAGAACACCAACCTCCTCACCTATTCCGCCATCGCTTTCTGTCTCTCTCTGCAATTCATCTTGAGAGAGAGACCAACAAGTATATGAATGAGTGAATTAGGCGTCTGACTTTCCTTCTCATCAAAGAACTCACCTGGTAATAACCTTCATTAACAACTCCTTGTTTTTTTTTAATCAAAAACATATTTTCAAGATTCCTCGTTCTTCATACTGTTCATCACTATCTTGAACTCTTTTAATTCGTGAGAAAACGTTCAATTTCTACCACTTTCCGCTGTTTTTCCGTCAAAAACCAAGTGTAAAGATTTACACATCTTCATGGTATTCATCATCACCTTGGGTATTTTGTATATTTAAAAAGAAGATTCGAGTTTATCAATTTTTTTAATCATCGGTTTAGGGCAAAACCCTTTTGTTCTATCCGGATATTCTTAGCTTAAAGACACAGCCATTGTCATATCTTCTGGTTCTGTTTCATTAACTATTGAATCATAATCATCTTATTGTAGAAAAAAGGCATTCTCTTGTGGTTTATCGTGATCTCGGAGGTGAGTTGAATGGATTCAAGAGGTTTATTGGAGAGCAATGGAGACGGGTTTTTCCCAAATTCCGGAATCGGGTTTCTTTGGTGTTCTAGAGATGATACTCTTTCTCAATCTGCAAGTTTTTTCGCAAGTGTTGGGCAGATGGGCAGGGGTGGATTCGGAAACATAAACCCTAATTCACCAAACCCCACAAACACAAACGATAATGAAGGTGTCAAACTTCCATTGTTATCAAAGGTTGTTTCAACACCCGAATCCAGTTTCATAGCTGTTGGGGGGTTACCAAAAATGGAGGCAAATGAGGAGTGGGAAAAAAGGGGTGTTTTGAAGAAGAAAGGCGGATTGAAATTGAAGATCAAGATCGGGAATCCTTCATTGAGGAGGTTAATTAGTGGGGCAGTTGCAGGGGCTGTTTCAAGAACATGTGTGGCTCCATTAGAGACTATAAGAACTCATTTAATGGTAGGGAGTTGTGGGCATTCTACTGGTGAAGTTTTTCAAGATATTATGCAGACTGAAGGTTGGACTGGCCTCTTTAGGGGCAATTTGGTCAATGTCATTCGTGTTGCTCCCAGCAAAGCCATTGAGGTACAATTTTTTTTTTTTTTTTTCCATTTGACCTTCATATGGTTTAATTGATGTGTGATTTGAAACTGACAAGGGTAAAAATGTAATTTAAACAAGGGTAGAAATGTAATTTTATTCTTCCATATGATAATAGGTTTTGTACATTGTTAGCTAACGACTCTTTTTTACATGCTTAACAATAAAATCTTGACTTTTTTGATGGTATTTTTTTTTTTTTATAATTATGAACTTGTCTGCAAATTTTTTTTTTTTTTTTTCCAGTTATTTGCTTATGATACAGTCAAGAAAAGCTTGGCTCCTAAACCTGGAGAAAAGTCAAAACCGCGTATACCCGAGTCATTAATTGCAGGGGCAGTTGCGGGAATTAGCTCCACCATATGCACATACCCTCTTGAGTTACTCAAAACCAGACTCACAGTTCAGGTAAACATTCAACTCTTGTTACTTTACTTTTAAATCGTGCCTTTTATGTATCTTGCATGAATGTGCAAGATACATATCAAACACATTGTGTTTGATACGTATGTATCAGACACATAAATGTGCCTAATATAGATACTATATTAGGCACGTTTGATACATATTTGTATGTATCATGCATGCACAACGTATGTATCGTGCACATTGTAATACATGATGTGTTCAATAAAGATGACTAGAGAAGATCACAAAAGTAGACATATCTCCTATTTAATAACACAACCTTCTATTTTGCAATAAGTTCATTGCAAAACCACTTTATGAACTTTTTTAAAAATAGTTTTGTTTTTCGAAGATTTTTTTGGGGTGATGGTCATTCAAAATACAATTTCACACCGGTTCTTTTTGTGTTAAGTGTCAAAAAGGTGTAATTTTGTTAAAAACCTCTATTTTGCAATGAGCTCACTGAGAGACCACTTTATGTTTCACAAAACAATCCAAAAAAAAAACGATAAAAAATCATGTATTTCGTAATATTCGATTGTTAAATTCGCGACATATGTATTATTTTTTTTTAAAGATAGTTTTTTCAAAGATACTTTTTTGGAAAGGAAAATTCAAAAACCAATGACATAACATAAAGACGTTTCACAATGGAACCATTGCGAAATAATCGGTTACCTACTTTAATAAATAAAAATCTTTTCTGCAACATGTAACATTCTTATTCATTTTGCCACACGTCATTTTGTGTTATTTTAAATTAGTTTTTTGCCACATGTTTTTTTTTTTAATTCCACATCCGTTTAAATGTAATAATTTTAATAATAAATGTACATCAATTTATAGTTTCTAAATTTCCAAACTAAAGCCCAATTATTTTCTTCATTTATTTATTAAAATTTTTTGTGTAATTTAAAAGAGAAACAAGCATTTCAATTTCAATATTTCAATATTTTTCTCACTTTTCTTATAAATCCAAACTCCGAAATCTTATATCTTCACATCTAACTATGTTTTCAATAAACCCGCGTAGTTCACAAGTCTTACAACTAGTATTTACATAAAAAATAATATATATATATATATATATATATATATATATATATATATATATATATATATTAATTCCTCGATCCATATCCCCAATCCATAACACAATCACCATTTTCTCTAGAGAGACGTGTACAAAAACCTCGTAGACGCATTCCTAAAGATCGTGAAAGAAGAGGGGCCCGCAGAGCTCTACCGCGGCCTAACACCAAGTCTAATCGGCGTGGTCCCCTACGCGGCCACAAACTATTTCGCCTACGACACGTTACGAAAAACGTACAAAAAAATGATGAAAAAAGATGAAATCGGAAACATCGCGACCCTCTTGATCGGTTCGGCCGCCGGAGCGATTTCAAGTTCCGCCACGTTCCCGCTCGAGGTGGCCCGCAAACACATGCAAGCGGGTGCGGTTAACGGGCGCGTGTACAACAACATGCTTCACGCGCTTTTGACTATTTTGGAAAAAGAAGGTGTTGGAGGGTTGTATCGAGGGTTGGGGCCCAGTTGTATTAAGATTGTTCCGGCTGCGGGGATTTCCTTCATGTGTTATGAAGCGTGCAAGAAGATACTTGTGGAGAAAGAAGATGAAGAATCGTAAGAAGTAAAGTTGAGGTTTTGGTTCTTTGGTTTTTATCTTGATGATAATAAAGATTTGGGTTTTTGTTCTTTAGATGGTTAGGAATTTTTGTTTTTACAAATGAGGGAGGATTTTTATGTTTTGGAATTAGTTTTTTTTTTGGTTTGACGTATGATTTATCTGGCAAGTTATATATAGGTGTTTCTTGTTTATTTAACGTTGAAGGAACGTGAACGACTTAATAGAGAAAGTCAGGGAAATCGGGAAGTGAGACTTTTGGTATGTCATTTTTTGTATGAATTTGGTTTTGTTTATATTTTCTTTCCATGTTAAGTGTATGTGAGTGATCTTGTAGTTGGTGTAAATCGATAAATGAATTGAATATGATCGGGCATAATCGTATTCGGTTATATAAATTCATTAATCATACAGTGTTTCTCTTCCTTTTCTGTAGGGATGCTAATGCGAAAGAAAATTTAGAATTTTTTTTTTTGAATTGACTATTAACAATAAAAAACAAGTGTTTATATACACCTCTATAACTTAAATAAGAGATGATAACAGAACATATGGTGACTCAGACCCAGGATACACGAGGTTGTCTGTTCTAACTATCAACTAAATTATTTTGAACAAAATAATATCGATCTCAAGTGTTTTGGCGTGAAATGAAGATTGATCTTAAAGTCTTTGCCATATTGGTGAAATAGAATGTCTTTCTTTACCACAATTAAAATTATTTATAAGAAAATAACAAGGGAAACGACAAAATGAAAAATAAATACTTTTTTTTTTATTTGTATATTGAATATAAAGATACAAGAGAAGTTATATGTTGGTGATTTTTAATGTCACAAGTTATTTTAGCGTAATAAAATTTACAAGGTTAATAATGAAGCTCAGATCTTGATTTATATAAATGTGAAGTTGTGGAGTGCATACTTATATAAAAACAAGTTTCTTTTCTGTGTGACCATAATGATGAAAAGAACGAGCATTAAAACTCATTAATGATAGACTCTTTAAATTAATTAATAATTAGTTATTGTACCGTTTGAAACCGCAATGAAAGTAATAAGTATTTAAACTTAGTGATGATCATTTATTGCTAATAAATGATCGGTTACTTATTGGAATATAAGAAGAATTCGAACTCTTAGGAGGAGGGAGCGTTTCGCATAATGTTTTTGGAAGGAATGAAATTTATCAAAAGAATTGGAATATGAAGGAATTGAAATCTGAATGTATTAGAAGCTGCAATGTGTTTGGTTGACATGGAATGAAATCTGTTTTCTGTTTGTTTTAATGATTTCAGAAATGATTTTTTTTTAAGATACAATCCGGAATCATTATAATTTTGTAATATGCCAGAAATACTCTTAATAATATTTACAACTAATTATATTTTTTAATAAACATGAAGATGTTTTATTTAATTACAAACATTTTTTTATTGAACTATTCTACAAAATTTAAATTAAAAAAACAAGTTTATTAAATAGAAATGTAGATGAAAGTGAAAAACTAAACAATTTGTCAACTTTATTTTTGTGAAATTAGTGGTTACTACTAATTGATTTTAAGTAATTTAAAGATTTTTGTCATTTTCTCCAAGAAAACAAACATAAGTTGTAAAATGAAGGACAAAAAAAAAAAAATTCACGTAGATAAAAAATAATTAAAAAACAAAAAGTAAAACAAAAGCAAAAGTCACGTAGATGATATTTAATTATTTATTTATTTTTTTAACTTATTTCATAGATAACCTGAGGATAATATGTAATTTAAAATAAAGATAATGAATTGAATTTACATTTTTGATGTAGGGTGGAAATATTAGATTTCTTTCAAATAGGGAATTAAATGATAATTATGGAAATCTAATTCATTCCTTTGGTAACCCAAACATGATCTCTAAGAGATTTTAGTTTCCAATTCCCTATTAATTCATTAAGAATCAAGTGAAACAAACACACCCTTATAAATTGTCCACTTCGTGATTTCATAATTTTTGGATTATCCTCATATACTGGATTTTGTGATACCCAAACATAGGTCGAAATATCAAATTCAAAAAATGTTATACATGATCCATTAAGAAATCCAAGCGATTCGTGATTACAAAAAACAATCATGTATTCCTCCTTAGCCCCAAGAATTAAAGTTGAAATTTTCCGTTTTTGAAATTATGAGTGAATCGACGATGCAATGATTTCTTCAACTTGCATACATTGTTTCCATTTCCATGCATCACAAACCCTTCAGGTTGTTTTATGTAAATCTCCTCATCCAATTCACCATTCAAGAATGTAGTTTTCACATCTGTTTGGTGAATCACAAGATTATGTATAGCTGCAAGTGATAACAATAATCTAATAGTGGAAATCCTAGCAACATGGGCATAAGTATCAAAAAAGTCAATACTTCTTTTTACGTAAAGCCTTGGATAACCCATCTAGCTTTGTATTTATCTATGGTGCCATCTACTTTCATCTTTCTTTTGAGGATATATTCCTAATGCTTTTCATCTAGGAGGTAAATCAAACAATACCGAAGTATTGTTATGGATGATAAAATCAATCTCATCATGAATTGCTTCTTTCCAGAAATAAACATCCCTAGAAGCCATAGCTTCACTAAAAGTCCTTGGATCCTCTACAATAATAAAAAAATATTGATGTTGAGACACAATCTCATTCCTTGTTCCCTCAACTAAATAAAGTTGAAAATCAGATCCAAACGACTTGGATTTTCTAGCTCTAATGCCCTTCCTAAGTTTAGGTACATAACTTATACCACCAGAAACATCTTTAGCTTGAGTTGTATTCTTGTTACAGGATTGCGGAATCATGTCTATTGGTCGAGGTATAGATGTAAATCTCTCTTCATTAAAGATATAAACTGTTGACTCTATAACAATGTTCATAGACATAGATGCATTACATTATATAGCATAGAATCTATATACTTTGGAATGCTCAGTATACCCAATGTAGATACAATCTATACCTTTTTCACCTACGGTTTTCCTTCTGGGTTCAGTGAGCCTTACAACTGCTCTACAACCCAAACTTTAAGATAACTCAAATTTGGTACCCTTTTATACCAAAGCTCATAAGGGTTATTCATACTCCTTTTGTTTGGCGTTCTGTTTAAAATATAGTAGGCTGTCAACATAGCCTCACCCTAAAATCCTTCACCCGTACAAAGATGCAGAAGAAAGATTACATAATTACAATATTTATTCTTATAGAGAGTAATGATTGATGTAGTATCATCTGAAGGACCATATACTGCTTATCAAATAAGAAAACATTTTACATATCGGAAGATAAATGAAGATACTTATGTCTATGATGATACAACTGGCATTTCTCCTCTGTCTTGCTTACCTGGTCTGATGAAAGAAGATTTGCATTCTTGTGTTAAAGGCTTCAAGGCTGAATTAGATCTGAAAGACGAGGTTATCAGTCTGAAACAAGAGCAGTTAGAAGTTCTTTGTAGGAAGCTTGGAAAATGTGAGAAGAAAAATAGTGATCTAGAAAGCAAGCTTAATGAAAAAGAAAGTGACTGGTATGTTTTTGATCTGGAGAAGCAACTTGAAGAAAGTAAGAAAATAATAGTAGGTCTAGAAGAAAAGATTTCATAAAATTCATCATCACAAAACCCTAGTTCACACACTGATGGGTTTCATGCAGACACTCTAAAGTCTCACACTATCAAGACTTCACAAGCTGACAAATCAGTTCACACTAACTAGACTTTTGGCTTCATCGGATGGATTATGAGCATAACATCATTCCTATGGTGTTCATGCAACCCTAATTGCTTTGATCTAGGTTTTTCTAGCTAAACATACAACATTGAATACCAAAGCAATAAACCCTAGATCTAGCATACAATAATCGAAATTGACAAAAGAATAGGGTTTAGATCTTACCTTGATTATTATATTGCAATAACAATCTGAATCCTTCTTGTAATTGACTTCTGAAAGCCGAATGCCTCAAATGTTGCACCTCTAATGGAGTCACAAACACAATATGCAACAAGATGAACAAGAAGAGAGGGAGGAGGCACCAAAAACGTCCTAAGGTTTCTCTTAGAATGTTAGAGACGTTTTTGGCTTGCCAATGGTTCTTTTTATACTAAGACTATTAGGGTTTTCAACCAGGAAACCCTAAACTGACTGCTTAGGCCCTAAGCAGCCCATGGACTCCCTTCTTAGAGGCCTTGGATGAATTCTAATGGGTTTCCCCATAGATTTCTTCCACTCCAACTTCTATGGAATCCATTAGCCCAATATTCAACTATCACACAATTGATAGTTCTTGTCCCCTTTATGATTTCCACTTTAATATATTATTAATATAATATATTAATAAATCATAATTAATCATCTTTATCCTTAATTCATCATATCAGTTGCTATGGTGAAGGCAACCCAAAAGGACCATGCTTGTAATCGGGTCAAGTACATACCAAAATAGTTATAGGCTTAGACACCTAATCTAACAGTCTCCTACTTGGATAATTCTAATAACTATTTTTCATATGACTACAGAACCTGATCAACAATTGTAGCTTTCAAAAGTCGTTGTCGAACTTTGATCTTATCAGTAACCTGTCCTTTAGATAAGGGATCATATATTCCTCCATTCTAGATATCGTATGAACCGAGACATGGATTTAAATCATACTCTCTGTTCATGTGTTGTTTCCTGATTTCCGATTTATGACGACTGGCAACAGACTACAATTGAACATGTCAACTTAGTCCCGGCTTGGCCAAGCGCTTAGGGTGTCATCACTAAATCATCGAAGGGCCCACATATATCGCTTTTATCCCACTTTGGGTAAAAGGAACATATAAACTTCGACTCAAATGCTCGATTGTACCTACTCATCAAATTACACACAACAAAATGTTTTATAAGACCAAGTTACTGGTGCGTTTACATATTGTCAATGTGCAACCGACTTACAGAATACAACTCACACGTTTCGGTTTCAAGAATATAAGATATTATCGTCTCACCAATCACTGGTGATAAAATCCATGAAGCGATCCAAGTGAATGTGGGTTTAATCCAATACTCTAATCTTATAGGAGCACTCATGAACCCTGCAACAAACTTTTACTATGTCTAAAACGCTTTAGACAATCTACAGTCAGATTCATGACATTATTCTTTAATACCTACTTCCAAAGTATAATCGACTGTGGATGGTTTGAATAATCTTAATATTCGGGAAGTCAAAACATGCAAAGTGAAACACAAGAATAATACTAATTCTATATGGCCCAAAACTTTTGAGTATAAATAATACACCTTAATTTAATCACCATATTGATTACTCATTATTTGTTGTTTCGGTTAATCGAGTTATTACTTGAATTATAACAACAGTTGTCCCATGCACCA